CAGTGTGCATGCATGGTGGGGAGAGAAGGTGGGGGTTTATGGAGGCTTTCTCCACTGGAGCAGAGTTGACTTTGGAGAGTGGCCAGCTGTCCTTGCAGTCCTGCTGGGGTCTCCTCTAGGGGTTAAATGTTTATCTTAAGGCCACTGAGGGAGCTGGAAGGTGGTGATTCCAAGCAGTGGCGATGGTGTGGATGGTGGGGTTTGTGCTGATTGGGGTTTAAAAGTGCATTGGTAGAGATGCAGGACATCTAAAGCTGGGCAGCCTCTTACTGTGCTGTGCTTAGACACTCGATTCTTGGCTGTCCTCAGTGAGAGGTTCCCTTTGCAATCAAGGTCCCATTTGCAAGCCTGAGCCGTTTTCTGAAGGGCAGGGGTGGCTTCTGTGCACAACCTGCTATTTTCATGATTCTGTTCAGGTGGGTGAAGAGAGACAGTTACCTCCCAGTGGGAAGTCACAACCTGAAAGCAGCAGCTAAAGCAAAGCTGGGCTATGATCCAGTGGAGCTGGACCCTGAAGAGATGTGCCGGATGGCTACGGAGGAGCCTCAGGTATTCCCTCCCTGTGCTGTATCTCCTCTGAGCGCTTGGGAAACAAGCCTAGAGCAGCTGCAATGTGGTTGAATCTTGAAGTTACTACATGGTTTTGCTTAGCGCGGTGGTTTTGAGAAATTAACTCGGTCTGTCTCTGCAAGCTGCTGATGCCTTAGAAGCACTTGGGCTGGGGGGGGAGAAAGAACAGGATTTCTTGGAAGTGGTTCTAGCACTGGCATCGCACGGTGTGTTTTCTGCATTGATTTGTTTCAATGCAAGGCGGGAGGCGCCACCGAAATCAGAAACACCACAAAGAGCCGCGACGTGCTGGAGAGACAAGAAACAGACTTGATGCTCCAGGTGTCGTGGGCAGGGAACTTCTGCTGGAGCAGCCTCCTGATTCCCAGACAGGGCAGTGTCTGTGCCGTGAGCTCATCCTCCCCACTTCTTCTCATTCAAAGCTGACGTGTTGCTGTGTGACTAGAGCAGGAGTAGGACGTCCTCAGAAGCGACCAGATCACTCTTTACAACTCAGGACATGGAGAAATACACCTTCCCCTTCTTCCT